TAAGGCATGACAAGATCGGAGAGCACGTAACAAGTGCATAAATCTGAATTATTTCTTTCCCAAAACAAACTAAGATATTAATCAATCTCTTTTATAAAATTTCATCTCAAGATCCTTCAAAATAAAATTGACTTTTATTTCAAAAAGACATTTCCAACGCAATTATAGAACATGCCAAAGAATATCGAATACAATGGGATTTTGTAAATACGTAAAGTATGTTCCCAAAACAAATTTAGAATTTGAAAAATATACCTTTACTTACCAAATTCTCTTTCCTTTATTCCTTGCAAGAAAAGTAATCTCATCTTTTCTTTGGTACCCAAATTTGTTTGGTCCTTTTTGGTTAGAGGAAGCATCAAATCTCCAATTGATTGTCTTGGATTTCTTCCAATAAATTGGACATTGTTGCTTATAGTGATTAGGATCACTTGAGCAATTATAATATTGAAATCCAATAGGCTTGACAAATTGCTTACCAAAATGATTTCTATAATGCTGGATTGAAGGCCTATGCTTTAATCTCTCCTTGACATTCGGAAAGTCATTCTTGATCTCACTTGCATTTTTGAATCCAAGGCCGGATTTTTGTAATTAGGGGACTTGTATGGATAGAACATGCTCTAATGTCTTCGAGCCTAGAGAAATTTTTTTGCAAATCTTCAAAATTTCTTCCTTATAGGAATCAACTTCCTTTTGCAAATTATCCTTCTATTCCTTGACAGAGGAATTCTCCTTTTCAAGCTCAATGATCCTTTTCTCATTTGTAATATTTTGTTGTCTCAATTTAGAGACTTCGTTTTTCAACTCGAAGATCTTCTTCAACGCATTCGCGTGTTCCGTGCATAACTCTTCAAAAAGATCATCATCATCGAGAATAAGATCTAAACAAATCACTTCATCTTCTTCAGATTCAATGTCCGCCATTAAGCATAGATTTCCTTGCTCATACATTTCATCATCGCTAGATTCAGACTCTGTGTTGCTCCACGTTTCGGCCTTTAGAGCTTTATCCTTCTTTTCGAATTTCCCTTTCCTTTTCTTGAATAAAGGACAATTGGGTTTTATGTGACCCGTTTTCCTGCTCTCAAAACATATTATATCCTTACCTTCATTGTCGTCTATGTTCTTAAAATATTTTCTTACTCCGGATTTCTTTGTTGGCTCCTTCTCTTTGGAGTTTCTTCTCTTTCTCACAAGGTGTTGAAATCTTTTGATCAGCAACTTCATCTCCTCATCGTTGTCTTCTTCATCTCCTTCAGAATCTGTCTCATCATAATCAATGTTAGATTTTAAGGCAATTAACTTCTTACCTTCGGGATCTTCTTCATGTATACATTCTACTTCATATGACTGAAGAGTTCCAATCAGTTCGTTCACTGATAGTGGCATGATCCTTTGAATCTCTCGAAGTGAGGTTTTTATGTTGTCCCACTCCTTTGATAGTCCCCTCATAAGCTTGTTTACTTTCATTGCATTTGAGACTGATTGTCCTTGATATGCAAGACCATTTACTATATCATTAAATTTGTCATACATATGAGCAACTGATTTTCTTGTCTTCATTCTGAAGGATTCATATTACCCAAGCAATAGGTTGATTTGAGTTTCCTTTGCTCGATCCGCTCTTTCATATGTAGTGCAGAGGGTGTCCTAGATATCCTTTGCTGATTCACAATAAGCAATTTTCTTATATTCAATAGGTGCTAAAGCACAATAAAATGAATAAATTATTTTTAAATCTAAAGCTTCTCTTTTTGTTATCTCAGTTTGAGATAATGGAGGATCTGCTGATTTGCTTTCGTCTAGCTTCTCTTTTGAAGCAAATGCAGAAGGTTTTGGATTGACTCCTCTGATAATAACATCCCACTGCATGTGATTTGATGAATACCTTCATCAGACGCTGTATTCTTTGCCATCAAAATATGGTAGTCTGGTATTGCTTTGTCCTTCAATGAGACTTGAAGCACTCATACTAGATTCTAGATCTTGTCTCTTACAAGAATCACCTAGAGGGGGGTGAATAAGTTATCTAAAACTTTTGATCAATTTTTAAAGCGGAAACAAATTATCAAGATTAAAGTCTGAACGACATTCAAATTCTGAGCAGACTTTATAGGCAATGTGCTAGTGTGCAGTATAAAAGATATAATAAGAGTTTAGGGATAGAAAAACTGCACACAAGAAATTATAGTGGTTCGGTTTAGATCAAGCCTACGTCCACTCTCCCATGCTGACAGCTTACTGACTGGATTCCACTAATCAAATTAATGAGAAGTTGCAGTAAGTTGTGCCACTTAAACCCAAGCACCCCGAAGCTGGTGCTGCTTATACCAAGTCGATAGATCACACTATCTCACACCTAAGCACATACTTATGACACTGTCTACACCTCTCAATTGATTACACGTATAAGCTCACGAAAGACAAGTATAAAGATTGAAGATCGCTCAGACTTTGGAATTCTAGATTCTGGATCTTGTCTCTTACATCTGCTCCTCGGCATGTTGGTCTCCTTTTATACTCCTCCACTTCCAAACTAACCGTTGGACAGTCTCTAGAGGATCGTCTTCCAATCTACCCGTTGGACAGAACTGTATCAAGAAGATTGTATAGCCGTTGAGGGATAAACTCCGAGTCTCCGCTGAATTTGGTCGCTCATACAACCAAAGCCTTGGTTTTTATAAGTAGAGCTTCTTCGCTTGGAAAGTGACTTGTCTCGAGATTAATTGCCAATTAATCAAGATGTTTTGCATATTAAACCGTTGCAAAACAATCTTCAAGATTGAGTCAATCAATTAATTTTAAGTGTGAAATCCAAGCCAGATTACTAGCTGTTATATATGTTCTGAATACGTGTCACGTTCTGGACTTTACGTTATGGACATAAGTTCTAGATCTTACGTTCTAAACTTGTGTCCGAAGTTCATCTCTGGTGTAAAGTCTGAACCTCTTTGAGTATAAAGTCTGAATCTCTTCGTCTGAAGTATAAAGTCTGAACATCTTGAAGTAATTTCATAATCTGAACATGATTGCCACATCTTCTCTTCCAAGAATAACTTCATAAATCAAAATACTTCAAAGCATTTATCAGACTTACAAAATACACATGGATAGTTTTGTCAACTTCAAAATATATTATGAGGTTTTCCCAAAAGTGCAATGATTATATCTTATCCTATTTGGTGCCATGTGTTATAGATCTCCCCTTTTTTATTGGTTTATTATCTCTTGTGTCATTACTATACGATGTAATGATTATATTAAACACATTCTCCTCACTATCATCAATTTAACTTGCAAAAAAAAGATCTAATTTTAAAACTTGTCTCTCTCACTTACAACTATGTGTCCCATCTAATAACTTGTCTGCGTGATTACTTTCAAGTGACTAATCAACATTAAAACCATCCTTTACTCATTGAATTTATTTGGTTAGCATAAATTCCATCGTGCTTTACTCGCCACTACTCTATTTACATCCGATGCATCGACAACAAATGCCACCTTACCTGGCCCCACCATCGTGGCCATCCAAAATATGCCTACATGCATGATGTGGAAGAACTCCCTCCCCTAATCTCACATCCTCGCATGGGACCAAACTATCCCGACGGGCATCCCAAGAATAGGGGCATCCTAACTGTGGTGCATCTATACGGCGGAATCAACCCATTGTAGTCGAACAGCCACGCATTAGTCTGGTTCACTACCAATTTCGCCAAGACGGAGCCCATGTGGACCTAGCAAACCTACACCTATCAAAATATGCAGCATGCTAGCAACCTCTGGTATCACGACCACGCCGTAGGACTAACGCGTGTCTACCTCTTGGCCGGCCTAATCGGGCCTTACATAATAAGGAACGTCGCCTTGGACGACAAGTTGAACCTCCCTCTTGACCCTGTGTTTGACTGAGTCCTCATGATCCTTAACTGAAGCTTCAAAACGGATGGTTCACCGTACATCAACTCCACCGGAACAAATCCCACCATTCATCCTCAGTGGTAGTCGGACTACTTCGGCAATGCTGTCATAGTTAATGGCAAGGCCTAGCCGTACCTCCAAGCCCAGCGTAGAAAGTACAGGTTCCGCAAATCAACACATCCAATGCTAGGTACTGCCGCCTCTCCTTAACCAACGATTTAACATTCATCCAAATCGTGCCGATGCAGTGATCAACTTCTCCATGATGGTAGCAAATGAGACTGGTTTAACCAACGACACGCCGTACCCATTCCTGGCTAGCAATTCAGTGGATCAGCTAAAAAGTAAAGTCATGAAATTCATCATCCAACTGGCAACTCTGAGCTAAATCGACGACTCCCATGTCCCTCCGAACCTAGAGACTTACCTAGTAGCCTCAAATGCCATTGGCGTGGCCAAAACCACTGGGTAAATTAAACTCTATGAGTACCTAACTCCAGTTCATATAAGTAAAGTTTATTGAGGAGTCACCACGAATCCATCAAATTTATGGTTCGTATAAGTAAAGTATTCTCCTATACTTTATGAGAAATGATACAAAATGGAAGATCCCAATATGAACCGATTCAATTTCTTGTATTCTAAACGTACATATTTATACACCATTTACAATTATATTTCCTAAATTTACTCCTATAGTTATGGTAAGTACAACTGAGAAATTGAATAGAACAACTCATGGGATAAGAATGTCACGGTGGCATATGATCATGCTAAGGATATGATCACGCTAAGACTCCCTCTCAAATTGGCACGTGTAGGTTACGAATGCCCAACTTGGAAAGTAGCCGCATGTATTGATCTCGGCCTAATGGTTTGGTAAACACGTTAGCTAGTTGTGACTCTGTACCAATCTTCAATGGAGCATTGAAGCCGGCTTGTTTTTTTTCACAAACACAATGGCAATCAATTGCAATGTGTTTTGTTCGCTCGTGAAAAATTGGGTTGGCAGCAATGTGAAGAGAAGCCTGGTTATCACAGTGTAAGAATACTGGAGCTTAAAGAGGCATGCAATGTCTCGTAAGAGGTGTAATAACCAGGTAATTTTGCATGTAGTTACTGTCATTGCACGATATTTCGCTTTAGCAGAAGAATGTGAGACTCTGCTTTATTTCTTGGTTTTCCAAGAAATGGGGCTATCACCCAATAAAATGAAATATACAGTTGTTGAACGGTGAGTCATGTGGCAACTAGCCCAATATGAGTCACAATAAGCCGTGAGTTGGAGTTCATTTTCAGCTGGGTAAAAGAGCCCTTGGCCTATAGTAGCCTTCAGATACCGTGGGAGACATTGTGATGCATCCAAATGTGGTTGGTATGGTGCATGCATAAATTGATTGAGGGTGTTGACGCTATGAGCAATGTCTGGCCTAGTTACTGTCAAATAAATCGTCCAATTAAGCGTTGATAGAGAGACGGATCCTCCAATAGAAATTTATCTTGCGACAGGAATTGCTGATTTGAACCCTCTGAACAATCTTTCCAAATCATCCCAAACTATTGATCATCTTTATAAAGCTCCTGGATCATGTCAAAGCCTAAGACCTTCACTTGTATTGTGGACAGCAAGGAATGCCTACAGCTTAATGCATTAGCCACTCGATTAAGAGTGTCAGCTTTATATTTGATAAGAAAAGTGAAAGCTTAAAGAAACTCTACCTACTTGGTATGCCGATTGTTGAACTTATGTTGAGTGTTTATATACTTAAAGGCTTCATGATCCGAATAGAGTTGAACAATAGATAATGTTGCAATGATCCAAAGCTCTAACCATAGCATAAATTTCCTTATTATAAATAGAGTAATTCTTGTGGGAATTATTCAATTTCTCACTAAAGAATACAATGGGCTTTCCTTCATGGCTAAGAACCGCACCAATTCTCACATTAAAGGCATCACAATCAACTTCAGATTTAGAGAGTAAATTAGTTCCCTTCCCATTAGATGGTTTAGGGGTACTCTCTAATTTGGAAGGATCCAAGGTGATTTTGACTCCATCTTTCTTGAAAGTGTAAGTATTCTTGAACCCATCATGCTTGTTTTTCTATGAAATTGCCAAAGCCTCCCAAGAAGCAAATGGCAAGCATCAATGGGAACAACATTACACCATACTTTATCATTATATTTTTTACTATGGAGAATTGAACAAGACATCTTTTATCAACCCTCACATCATTCCTTTTGCGAAGCCAAGAAAGCTTCTAAGGTTGTGGGTGTTTCTCCATCTTGAGGTGCAATTTACCCACCATTGTTGTAGCCACTACATTCTCTCAGCTTCCTCCATCAATGATAGTATCACATACCTTTTCATGAGAAGTGCATCTAGTGTGAAAAATGTTGTTGCGAAGCCATGTGCCTAGAAATGGAATCAAGATCCGGAGAAGGATGAGAGACTTTCCTTGATCTCCATAGATAAATTCATCTCCCTCCTCCGATCCTTCAATGGTGCTAGTTGACTCTTCATGTTTCTTGTCTTCAAGCTCTTCTTCTACAATATGTCCAAACCCTTGACACTTGAAACACTTGATAGAGTTCGGGCAATTAGAACTAAGCGACTTTGAAGCGGCTGCCTTAGTCTTAGGAGTAGAGGCACTCTCACCTTTGGAATGACCTTCTTTGCTCTGAGACCAAAAGCTACTACCACGTGCTTTTTTAAGTTGTCATTCCACCTTAAGTGCAAGTTGACACACATCATTCATGTTGTGGTTGGACAAAATTACCGATTTCAAATCAAAGTCCACCAAGGTAACAGTTTGCTCCTCTTATTCAGAAACATCACAAAGCATCCTGAGGTGATCATATTCTGCTGTATATTCTTCCATGGATAACTTCTTTTGTTTGAAATTGTGAAACTTGAGGAAGGTTTCTTGACAATAGTTCTTTTGTAGGAACTTCCTTTTCAATTGTTTCTTCATCTTCTCCAAAGTTACGATACGACTTCTTCCTTCACGAGCTCTTGGCTTCTTCAAGTGCTCCCAATAAATAGACGCATGTTTTTTGAGTTTGAGGGCAACTAGTTTCACCTTTGATCATTTGATATATCTTTGTAATCAAAGACTCTTTCGATAGTGTGTATCCAATCCATAAATTCTTCTGGTTGCGTCTTCCCTTCAAATTCATGAATATCAACTTTCACATAAGAATCTTGCCGAATTTCATGGAGCCTTTGATACTAACGTCAAGTAAGTCCTTCTTCACTTGAAGCATGACTTCAAGCACTAGCAAATGGGTTGACATTCTCTTCATCAGAGAGAGCATATTCTGAACCAGGACGCAAATCATCACTTCTTGAAGTTTGATGTGTAGCAAACGTTCCTGCAGTTGCTACACTTATCTCCTTAAATCGTCCACCTCCACGTCTCCTAGGTCGCTTTCTCAAGCTGTAGAAAACTCAACATCTGGTCCACATCGATGACGACGAGCCATTGAACCTTACACCGTTACCAATTTGTCACCACCCGTGGGTAATCAAGCTAAGCGATAAGAACAAAACAAGAATATTTATTGTTCTGAAGCCAAAGGCTCAAATAAGTTATGAATAAATCAGATCTTGTCTTTTCATTTATCATAGCAATGCTTAATAAATTGAGCAGGGAATAACCCTCCAAGCATGAGTAATACCAAGACTCATGGGAAAGACAAAAAGACTCACAAAAAAGACAAAATTAGTTTTACTAGAAAGCAACTACAATTAAATAAGAACTGTTGAAACTTAAACGACATTTACTAGACCTTAAAAATATGAGAAATAAATACAATTGATTGCAGGACTCCCAAGTTTTACTAATTCCAAAGTATCTAAATTAATGGCCTTCAAGGAATACTCCGGCGTCACCTTGAGTTCAAGTTCCCCGTCTTTCGCTTAACCGATAATGATCATCCCCATGAGTGTGTCGTCGAAATGGGGACGTGATAATGATGAATTGAAAAAGAGATGTGAGGCGTGACAAAGATCTGAATCCATTCAAAGGTGTTCACTTGTAATGAGTCCATTTTTCTCCTTTTAAATTCCCCTGATGATTTGTTGCTCTCTCTTTTTTCTTTTTTTTTTTAAATAACCCCTAGCTAAATCTCTCAAAACTCCAACAAATTTGTCTCCCACTCAAATTGCGGTTGAACCTTATCTCTTATAACATGCTTGATGCAAACAATCTAGTCCTAAATGTTATTAATACCTAAATGCAATGTAATAGAATCCACAATGTCTGCTGTAATTTTAATTTTTTAGGGATCAAGGTTGATTCCCATATTTTTTTGCATTGGATAATTAAATGAGTTGTCAAAATTTAGGTGTCAACGGGGCAAATAAGGTATTTATGGCAAATTACTTGACACAATGTCCATCGCATATAAATCGTTCCTTACTACACGCGCAAATCATGATATGAACGGAATCATATTAATGGAACAGCCAGTGGAACCAAAAAAACAGACAGAGTACAGTGTGTTGGCATTTGAACTCACGACCCATCATACTCTTATATCATGTTATATGAACAGGTTTTTTCTAAAAATTAAAATTATTAAGAAACGAGCCAATAATACGTCTACACCAGACAGTCCACACACATGTTGGAATGGATTGGATAGAGCTCGAATAAGGAGCTGAGGTATTTTTGTTTCTGCAATCATGCAAGGGCTTGGAAAGGCTAATTTTCAAGGGCATGTCTGTCCTCAGCTGGACCATTTCATCATCAACTTGAAGCTTTTGGGCCCATGAAAGAGCACTCTCCATCATTGACTAAAAGACTGAAAAATTGTCCCAAAAATTCGAAATCTATTGCACTTTTATCAATTTAGTTTTAAACCTTTTAAATTTGTAAATTGAGTCCTAAACCTTTTTATGCTTTGCCAATTGAGTCCATCTGATCAATTTTAGCTGAAAATCACTAACGTGACAGTCCAATCAGTGCCGACCGTCATACATGGCACGGCCGGAGCTGACGGCTGGCGCTGACGTGGACAAATTTTAATAATTTTTTGATTTTATTTTTCTCCTTTTCTTCTTTCTTTTCTTTTTTTTTTCTCTTCAAAGCGTTGGCAACCCCTACTAGCCACTAGGCAAGGGTTGGCGACCCCCACCTCCCCCTAGATGAGGGCCACAAAGCCCTTTGCCGGCCGCGACCCTCGCCCACCCTCGCTGTGGCTAGCAAGGACGCCCTCACTAGCCACAGCAAGAGCTCGCGGGCCCTCGCACCCGACAAGTGAAGGCCAATGGGGATTGTCAACCCTCGCCCAATAGCCGGCAGCCCCACCAACCCTTTGAACCAAAAAAGAAAAAAAAAAGTAAAAGAAAAGTAAAATATAACAAAATTAATAAAAAATTTAAAAAATATATTATTAAAAATTGTCTACGCCAGTGCCGACCGTGCCGTTCGTGCCATGTAGGACGGCTGGCATCCACACTAGCAATTTTTGGTCAAAATTGGCCAGATTGACTCAATTGGCAAAACTTGAAAAAGTTTAGAACTCAATTAGTAAAATAAAAAAGTTTAAAACTAAATTGGCAAAAGTGTAATAGGTTGAGGACTTTCTTGAAAATTTTCCAAATTAAAGACCGACAAGAAATGTGTCTTTTGCCTTGAGAAGAGGAAGATGTGCTATCATGATAATGTATTGTGTTGTCCTTGCCATTGAATATGGCCGCTTCCTAATTATTCACTCATAATGTAGCGTTGGATTCATTTAACAATCTTGTAAATCAGTGTTAGTTCATTTAATCTTTCATCTTTTTTCTTTTGCTTATGCCAAGTTGCTGTGAGCTAGGTTGTTCTTTTGTCAAGGAGGCGTCTTTAACCCGAAGAAAATGGAGAAAAATGAAGATACCAAGTTGAATCCTCATGAATTACATTAGATATTAAGGGTGCATTTATTTCACGGAAAATGTACTAATTTGGAAAATATTTTCTAGGAAGGAAAATGACTTCATTTTCCGGTATTTGGCTAAAACCTAAAAAAGACCTGGAAAGCATTTTCCATCGTTTTGTAAGAAAAATATGATAAGGAAAATTATAAAAAAAATCGTGTTTTTTGATTATTTTTTCTTTTCTTTTCTTTTTTTCCTTTTGCTTCTTCCTTGGTAAGACGCCGACCACGGCGACGGGGACGCCGACCACGGCGACGGGGCCGACGACCGGCCATAGGCAAGCTCCAGCCTCGCCTGGGGTCGGCAAGGCTTGGTCTCGTCACTCGCCACCAAAGGCCGCGAGCTCGCCCGATCTAGTGAGGCTTGAGCCAGGCCGTCCGAGGTCTCGAGCTAGCCAACCTTGTGCGAGCTCGAGCCTCGCCGCCAAAGGCCACGAGCTCACCCGATTTGGTGAGGCTCGAGCTAGCCGGCCTCAGGCGAGTTGCGCCTCACCGCCAGAGGTCGCGAGCTCGCCCGATCTGGCGACGCCCAAGCTCGTAGGCCTCAAGCGAGTCGAGCCTTGCCGCCAAAGGCCGCAAGCTCACCCAATCTTGAGAGGCTCGAGCTCGCCGACGACAAGCCAAGGAAGAGGAAAAAGAAAAAAGAAAAGAAAATATTGAAATTAATAAAATTCCATATTTTTAAAAAATAAAAATAATTAAAAATTAGAATTCTTTTTAAAAAATGTTTTTATAAGAACAAACGTTTCGTTAACAAAGGCCTCGAGAGCCGAGGACCCGCACACGGTATTTGTTGACCCAGGCCTAAGGGTCACAATCAGAACACGAGCGTCGAGGACCTGAGCACGGCCTTATGGACCCAAGTTTGGGTGCCGGACCAGGGGTTTGGGCCCGACCTCAATAGACCCGAGCATGGGCATCGAGGGCCTAGGCCTGGGACACCGGGGTCTTGGGCCTAGCCGCCGAAGACTTGGTCCTGAATGCCGGGACCCAAGAAGTAACATTGGGGTTTTCATACCCAAGCGTAGAGTTTCGAATTCAAATATTGATACCTAGTCATATTTTGGAAAAATGTTTTTCGGTTCTTTCAAATAAGAAATTATTTTCCTGAATTTAAGCTTTGGTAGGAAAATTTTTTTCATTAACTCATTTTCCTAATTGAACCAAACGCCGAAAAATGAGGAAAATGATTTCTCGGAAAATGCTTTCCGCGAAACAAACAAACCCTAAGAAGGTAGTTTACAATCATTCATGAAAGCCACTACTGGCATTCACTTCCAGTACCGGCTACCTAGAGACCTATGGAACAACCAACAAGTCTCGTAATCAATTAGTCCAGGCCTTTAGCCTCTGCAACTGACCCTGACTCAAAGTAATTTGCACGCAGCTAGTCAGATTCCGAACGGGCGACATCCAATTTCTAAGTTGGAATTCCCCCTAAAACCCTAATAAACCGCTAAACCTTGATGGTTACAACCGACACTCTTAGAATCGTCCTTTCTTAAAATTTGTCTTTGCATAACAGTAGATACATAAATTCCTGGTCCATGAAATACTTTAGTAACGGTATGAATCGAGTAATATACGAGCAAAGCATTCAAGTCACGAATTTGGTGTTCTCACTTTGCTTATTCCTTCGCATGGATGTCAGTTCACGTGCAACTTAAACCAAAGTAACATAAACGTTCTCGTCTTTGATCAACTCTACGTCGCTTATTGAGTCGATGTTTGATATTCCAAAAGGAACCTCATCATTAAGGGTGAGCATGGCTCCTGGGTAGAATCGGAACTAGACCGAACTGGCCATAGAAACTAGTCCGGTTCTAGATTCCCACGATTACCGGTCGGATTCCCAATTCCAAAAAAAAAATAGAACCGATATTATGCTATTCGTTTCCTAGTTCTTGGGTAAGAACTGAACCAATAACCAAAGAGCTAGACCAGGAACCGATGAAACGTTGGTACGTGTTTTAAAAATTTATTATTTATTTTATTTTACGTGTTCATCTTTTTTGGATTGTTACTATTGACAAATGGAGATTTTTATTGTTGTGTTCATTTTCATTTTGCTTAAAAATGAAAGGAAAAAAAGGAAGAAAAAATGAAAGAAAAAAAAAAAGAAATTTGCCCGTTCCCGGGTAAACCCTGGAGTTGACCCGGAAATCGATTGACAGGGTAGGTTCCAGGTTCGAAAAACTAGGAAATTAGTTCCGACAGGGAAGGTTTCATGGACCGACCTTGAAACCGCCCATCTCTACTTATTCCCGTCCCTGTCTAATTATTGTATTTAAAAAGTCTCTTACCACTTTTGTACCACAACAGGAACCTACCATTCTGAATTCCTGTCAACAGGGGACGTACATTTGTTGTTTGGATTTGTCACCGAAAGTAAAAAAAAACCATATTGTTTTAGGCAAAATGACGAATGATCAGATGATGTAGAAACGCTAACTTTTAAGGATTTCTTTCACTATCGTTGCTCTATAAATAAACACTCACTCTCCTTCACAAGGCAAAGCCAAACTCACTCTCTCCCGTCCCAGTCTAACCATTGTCTTTAATTAAAAAAGTCTCTTACCACTTTTGTACCACAACAGGAACCTACCATTCTGAATCCCTGTCAACAGGGGACATACATTTATTGTTTGGATTTCTCACCGAAAGGAAAAAAACACCATATTGTTTTAGGCAAAATGACGAATGATCAGATGATGTAGAAACGCTAACTTTTAAGGATTTCTTTCACTATCGTTGCACTATAAATAAACACTCACTCTCCTTCACAAGGCAAAGCCAAACTCACTCTCTCTCTCTCTCTCTCTCTCTCTCTCTCTCTCTCTCTCTCTCTCTCTCTCTCTCTCTCTCTCTCTCTCTCTCTCAGAGTGTTGAAGTGTGAAGATGAGAATCCAAGTCCCATTGATGTTATCGCTGTTGTCGCTGTCAAGCCTTGTGACGAGGTCGACAATGGCTGAAGAGATGGTGACCCCCAAAACGATGCATTTCGACACCAGCGGGCTGAGCCGACCGGACTTCCTGAAGGGCTTCGTTTGGGGGACTGCGACCTCGGCTTATCAAGTCGAAGGCATGGCCAACAAAGATGGACGTGGGCCTAGCATCTGGGACGTCTTCGTCAAAATTCCACGTACTTCTTCTATCATTTCCATCCATTAACGCTTCTCAAATTCAAATCTTCTTTTGCCAAGGGCGATGGCGACAATAGAAGTGATGTAGTTTCGCTCCAAATTCCATTGAACCTTTGTGTAATCAGTGAGATCCTACACGCCACTGGGTAGCGGCTTAACGATACTTGCTGTTCTTTGCAAGTGCGAGGTCACTTGTTTGAATCTGCTCACGGTAGCAGAGAACGTGATAGGCATCGCAGTTTCTTGGGTTTCCCATTTACTGCTGATGCTTGTCGTTGATTATGGTGTTAAAGTGTGTCCTGGTCATGTGATGCGTGCAAGGATTGTGGCCTATAGTGCAACTGGGGTGGTTCCAGAGTGGACCGCAGATTAATTTATCTAGAAAACGAAGCTGTCATTGACAGCATTAATTTTATATAAAATGAAAGAAGAAAAAGAACACAAACACTTTAAAATGATTACCCTTTAAATTGGGCCAGCTTTCCAATCGCCACCTTTCACGAATGACATTGGTGAATGGAGGAATGGAATGGGGTCACTTTTTCTTCTTCAATTGGGTCCAATTTGGGTCCACTAGGGACAGAAGTTTCATCCCTGGACGGCCTTCTAATTAGCAGGTCTCCATCGATCTGTTACCTGCTTAACCACTGTGCCTTCGGATAGTTGGAGCAATCAATTCAAAGTTAAGGTATATTAGTTTTGTGATCAAGTGGTCGGTCACAAAGTAAAATGGTTTACCACGTTTACTATTTCTCAATTTCTTCATGCTCCGGCTTTAAGCAAGGAAATTTGCAGAGATTTATTCTATGGATGACGTGATAAACATAATCAATTAGCGTGAAAACTATATGATAACTAGTTTTTGTGAGAAAAATAAAATACTGCATTGTCTTTAGGCCTCGTGGACCATGCTAATCTTCTAGCCCATTGCTCATGTGGCAAGCCCCGTAATGGTCAGACCATCATGGTCAATGGTCCGTAAAGTATTGGATCATATGATTGATGTAGATGCCAGCTATCCAGTGCAAGTCGTACAAGGTTTTTCAAATGTCATTGACTTGATCTGATAGAAAAGGCTATTAATCTCACAATGAATTAAGAACCGTCACTCAATTATTTCTCTATAGTCCTTAATCCACTATAAGATTAACAACATATTTCGGATCACAGACTATGTATATCCTTCTCTTTTTTATTCTGCTTATTTCGATTCATTGTTTTTTGTAGAGGACTCAGTTACCTGAATTTTGCGGACCATCACGTCACAATGTGCAGAAAACAATCTTTCCCATGCATTTAGTTGTTTATGAACTTTGTCTTGTTCTTTTTCCCGATTAAGTGAGGTTGTCTATGATTCGTTCTTATTGTGCTAAATTTATTGGATGGACATAACTTTCACGAGATTCCCACCAAAAATAAACATAACATAATGTACGAGATGAGCCATACTGTTTTGGAATGGGTCAGATCGTTTACTATGTCCAAACAAGTCGATGAACAAATTCTTAAAATAGATACTACTCTTGCCGGTTTAGTATTTACAGATTGAGCTTGATGTCCTCCAACTCATCATCGTCGCAAGTCATCACCATCATTAGCCTTTGTGCTCAGCACACGCTCTTCTCCTATCTAATCCCTAATATTGTCCATTGAAATCATCTCTTCCTTCGTACATATTAAGGTTAATACACACGATTATTATCCGCTCCTTACCTTGGTACCCACTTTCCCTAACATGATCTTGGGGTTGCAATCGTGTTCGTAAGACCAGTAGAATTCGATGTGAAAAATTCATGTCCTGATCAAGATTATTAACCGTGATTCATGATTTTGAAAGGCGGAGATTTGAAGGCTTTTATGATAAGGAAGGCAAAGATGATATGGGAACTAATCATGTTGATAATGATGGGTGGTCGTGGCGCGCCGATGGGCCAACAGCCACCACCAGTGACAGAGGCAACTCTGCATCGAGTGGCCGCTTCTCTCCAAATGTACGTGGATGAGCTCCCTCAGATGCCCAAGCTCTTCGGGTACGCCCTCAACACTGGTTCGCCTGAACCCGCTAATCTCACTATCGGCATGTACAAGACCAAATGGGTATGTACTAAATTTCTCTTCCTTTTAACATCAAATTAAGCATGTATCAATCCGATCAATTGTTTAATCTTTTAACATTTTCCACTTGCAAGATGGGCCAACTTTCTTGACTTTCATGGAGAAAGTGTTCCCCATTTAGCGCAATTCATTGTCATCTGATCTCAAAAGTGGACGCGACACTTGGACAAAGACACATTTCCTCTGAGTAAAAAAGAAGAATAGAGAGATTATGTCTAATTAGGTTCATGTTTAAGTGATAAAACCACGCCCATGTAACTACCATGAGCTTCATTGACATTCCGAACTAACAGACTAAAGTTAAGGCCTTCCGATGTATTATTCTCGTGCTTTCTTTATTGAAGTTCACCTAACTTTGGCGCTGTTCTATCCATGAACAGAAATTTCACCGCGATTTACCTGCAACAACTGTATTTGCCTACGGAACGTCGGCTCAAACCGCCACAGTGCCCGGCCCCACCATCGAAGCGATCCGAGGCGTATCGACCTGTGTGACATGGGAAAATCACCTGCCCCGGTCACACGTACTGCCATGGGACTCCACTATTCCCACCGCAAACCCCAAGCACGGAGGTGTCCCCACGGTCGTGCATCTCCACGGCGGGGTCCATCCCCCCGAATCGGACGGCAGTGCTCTCGCATGGTTCACCTCCGATTTCAAGGAGACTGGTTCCGCGTGGTCACGGTACACGTACACATACCCAAACGTACAACAATCCGGGAACTTATGGTACCACGATCACGCCCTCGGTCTAACAAGGGTCAACCTCTTGGCCGGCCTAATAGCCGCTTATGTGCTTCGAGACCCGGCCTTCGATGTGAAGATGAACCTACCTGTTGGCCCGGAGTTCGATCGCCACTTGATGATCTTTGATCGAAGCTTCTACAAGGACGGATCCTTGTACTTGAACTACACCGGAAACAACCCAACTATTCATCCTCGGTGGCGACCGGAGTACTTTGGAGAGGCCATCTTAGTCAATGGCAAGGTGTGGCCTTATCTCCAAGTCCAACGTAGAAAGTACCGATTCCGCATAATCAACGTCTCTAACGCTCGGTACTACAGTCTTGCATTGACCAACGGCCTATCGTTCACGGTGGTGGGATCAGACTCATCGTACTTAGCCTCACCCGTCACCACCCAACGGATTCTCCTATTGCCTGCCGAGACCTTCGATGTGGTCGTCGACTTCTGCACCGCCACTGCGACTGAATCCATATTGACCAACAACGCCCCTTACCCGTATCCGACCGGGACTCAGCCTGATCAACTAATGGGCCAGGTCATGAAGTTCATCATCAAGCCTGGAGCCCCCAGCCCACCAGATACTTCCCGTGTCCCGGCAAGTTTGGCTCCAAGCCAGGCAGCGACGATTGTCGGAGCCTCCCTCATGCGGTACATTACTTTGTACGAGTACCTGAGCTCGGCCAACTTGCCCACCCATCTATACATAAACGGCAAGAGCTTCCACGACCCAGTCACGGAGACTCCAAAATCGGGATCCACCGAGGTGTGGGAGGTAATCAACTTGACCGGAGACAACCACCCGCTTCATGTTCACCTAGCGACTTTTCAGGCGATCAAAGTGCAACGGTTGGTAGATGAGCGAGGATTCTTGAACTGCATGACCAGCAAGAACGACGCAGTGGCACCACCCGCCTAGGTGGCGCTGCTGGAGCGCGCACTCTTCCTCTCGCAAAAGGTTGAGTGTTCGAATCCCGGGTGCCGCAGGGTGACTTAACCGGTGCACGTGTGTGGTGGCTAGCACGTGTCGCCCCCAGGGTTTACCTCCCGGCTGTCGGCCGTGCGGGGGTTCCCTGGGTCATCAAAAAAAAAAAAAGAACGACGCAGTGGCATGCAACGTAACGGGCCATGCAACTGGGCCCACTCTCGACATTCCGGCTCGTGAGAGGGCGTGGAAGAACGTCGTCAAGATCGAGCCCGGTTACAAAACGACAGTCGTCGTGCACTTCAATCTGGTTGAAGAAAACAATGCTCCGTACCCCTTTGATGCCACTTCAGCTCCAGGGTATGTTTACCATTGCCACGTAAGCTACCATAAGTTTCCCAACTTTCGGTCAATAACTTAAACTAAACTTGATCAGAGGCGTGGCGACTCGCTAAAACCGGATTACAGAGGGCTAGCCAAGCATGTTCTTTCTTAAGCATGGTCATCTTTTAAAGAGAATTCGAACCCTTTTACATCGAGGCCGCCCCACTACTCGACTTGACCCAATTACTAAATTTTACTTAATCTTTTCTCTTTGTTATGACACTGTTGAGTGAATTCTCTGTGCAGATACTGGATCATGAAGATAATGAGATGATACGGCCCTTGAAGCTGGTAAAATGAGAAGATATAGCTCTTTTGTGTGAGGTTTGAGATGGCGTTTTCAAGTGTGAATTAACGTTGATGTAACATACTCACGTCCTTGATTTGTGTTTGTTTGTTTTCTTTCTGTTCCGGTTCAAGTGTGAATTAATGTTCATGTGAATAAGTGATTCGACGGTTGAGACCAACATGGGAGTACTTTTAATGTTATCTAGAATTACGAAAGCCGTAGTTGTTATGCTTTGATGGGTTTCGTGTATACGAGCTGGAATTCTATTCGAATGTTTAAATATTAAAATATACATTTACATATTTGTTGACACCCAAAATTACCCCTGGTGGTAATGGGCCATCCACAAGTTACAGAAGATATAAAGTACGGCCCACATGATAAAAATATGAGAAAGGCCATAAGTCAGACCCAGAGGCAGTTGTCGACAGGACACGTCATAAAGGTGTCAACAAGTTTAAAATCACGAGCTTTGCACGTGATGTCGACAAATCTAAGCCTTGCACGTGACGAATCCCAGATCACGAGCTTTGCACGTGACGTCGACAAAGTTCAGAATCACGAGTTTTGCGCAAAATCATGATAATACGTGATGAAAAATTCGTTTACACGTGTCAAAAGGTAAAGACACGACCGTGGGCGTCAAGGACAACAAGAAATAAAATGACACGTGGAAGAAAATTAGCTACTACGTGAAACCCAATGAGCGTAAGCAATATCGACAAGTCAGGAAATAGTTAAAGCACGAAACGTAAGGAAGTGGAAAACGACTTTCAAGGAACGGTTGTCAAGCTGTTCTATAAATACTCAAGGACTTCCAACGCAGAAAGGACCCTTCTTCAACAACACAATACATCCTTTATTTAGCCTTTATCTTTAAGCACATTAGGAGTAGTATTAGTCATAATCTTCAGATTCTGTGTCGTAGATTCAATTCCGACGAGGGTCTTTATCAGGTTCAGCATTGTTGATTAAATTCCAGTGTTGAGCCACTAGCTCAGTGTCGTCGATTAAATTCCGGCGCTGTGTTTGGAGTATAGCTGTTGATTAGATTCCAGCCGTATTCATTCAAGTTACGTCATTGATTAAATTCTGACGTACTTTGAAGTTGTGTCGTCGATTAAATTCCGGCATAGCTTAATTTCAACATTTGCAAGTTGTCGTTTCATGGTTAGTATTGTCGAGTTCGACATCATATCGAGTCAGGGTGTAAGATCTACATTGGATTAATAAACGCATTTGACATTCTCTGTCCAAGCTTGACTCAAGACCCTAGTCTCCTCTAATAAAATCCGAAACGCAGCGTTCGGTGAAAGATTTTTCGACGGAGTAACAAACCGGCGAAACAATATTAAATTTTTAAATTCTAGAACAGTTGGCAGTAGTCTCAAATGAAATCTAACAATTATTAATGCTTCGATGAACATTTTCCCACTTTCGATGCTCTGAGCTGTCTAATTATACGATAGCTTCTTTATAAAAGGTTGAATAATAGAGTTTATCGAAGAATCATAGACTTTACGTACCTTGTGCCTGTATGCTGTTTGATTGGACTTGGACCTCTACGTACAAAGCCATTCATGGCAAGACATATTTAAAATCGCATGAAAATTATTTTATTCGAGTTCCCTAAGGGGAATTCGTGATTGTCAACAATGTTAAGCAACCTACTCTTGAAAACTTCTAGATTGGTCAGAACGTTCGATTAGGTGCCAACACAAACTAAATAAATCGATGTAGGTGCGAGGAGATAACATGAAGAAATTGGATCGTTTCATCCTCCTTTGCTGCGGGCTGATTACCCGGTTTTTCTTTCTTCTTCTTTCTTTTGGCCTCCGCGGAGGCCAACGACAAGACAACCACCCCACCCCAAGTCGTGCGACGAAGATCAAAGTCAAAATAAAAATTGCGTTGAATTTCTCTCTGAAACGCGTTATAATTAAAAATGAGACACGAAAATTCATACGTTTTGACTTATGGGATTATCCTAACTTAGATGTTATATCGTCGGTGGACCTAATAAAAATCTCGAATTGTGTCCACCCGAATTAGAGGACTTTGACTTCCTACCGATCTAACAAGGCAATACCTACACGTTTAAGACAAAGCCATCCAAATTGCAGGTATGCACATTTAGGCTTGATCATGAAGCTGGGTTTGGTAAAGAAACAGGAAGATGTCCGGATGTGAGAGTTGACGATGATCAAGAGAGTTGGACATTGAAAAGATCAGCATCCAAATTACTTTTGACTAGGATATAAGCTTATCGTGCTTAATTACTTCATTATTGTTTTGTATATTGTGCGGACCAACGGTAAAGAACCACACTCATCCCGGGCTCAGTCAGTATATTTTATTATTTACCACACTCATTAACATATTAGATGAACACGCGGTCTAAAGTTTAAGTCCTCTACAGATTTAAATACTCTATACTCCTCCATGCACATGAGAAAGTATTTCATGCGACGGTCACGCTATGTGACTGTGACACATGAAAAAACCGACTAATAAGAAAGGAGAGTTCTTATGTTCAAACATAAAAATCAGTTGTGATGAATATTGTGCAGGCGATATGATTGGTCGATTGATATCTCGTCAGTCACGTGACCCACAAATGTAACTTTTTCATTTATGTATATAGGCCACGATCTCTCCCAAAGACTAGACCTTAAAAATCTAACTGAATGGGAAGATGAATAAGGGACGACACATGTCAATCTAATATTTGGGTGTGTAGTTCGTGGAGAAAGACTTCAGGCGACCTAACATGAAATTTTAAAATTCTATGTGCGCAGCCGAAATGTTATAAGTTGGGTCCAAATTCAAATGAACACGCTTGCTTAGTTGTATTAGTTAGCGCAATGCAAGAAATTTACCTAATCAGTCCTAAACCTATTGTAAAGATATCAAATCAGTTCTAAACTTTTCAATTTTGCCAATTTAATCATAAACCTTGACGTAAAATTTCAATTTTGTCATTCCAGCCAATTTTTCTTAGAAATCGCTGATGTGAAGGTCCAATCATCATTGGCCATCTTATGTAGCACACCGTCGCATTAGCGATTTTCGGCAAAAAATTGATCAGAATGACTAAATTGGAATATCGCGCAAAGGTTTATAATTGAAAATTTTATGACTGAATTGGCATCCAAACAATAAGTTTAGGACCGATTGGACAATTTCCCCATGCCAAGGCTTAGCTAGGCCGTCTAATGATGACATCATGTTTAGATACAACGTGAGTTGCATAAGAAAATGAGAAAACGAATGTCGTATGAAAGTTGCTCGACGATCATGAGAGATCGAGAAATCGTGCCATCTCTCTTTCTCTTTCATTTCCTTTGAGCTTATCATGTGCTCCAAGACCCTAACTCGTGAAACGACACCCATGTCCCCCTAAAAATTACAAAAGAGGGCATACGACCCTTGTAGAGATTTAATTTGAATTACTGACCTAAAAGTCTCCAATCATGGGATCCACTTGAAAAAAGGAGAATAATCTCATTTCACACTCGAAAGAAAGATGAATTATTTTAATCCCCATCATGCCCATATACTATTCGACCACATGTGGTATAAGGTAAAAGATGAAGAATTAATCATCTTTGGAAATTGTCCTCCCACATTTGATTGGGTGTTGAATAAAGGGTAATTAATTTACTTCTTGAAAATAAAAGAAAAACCTTATATTTGGGAATTCCACGTTGCAATTAGTCTTAACATCACTTCCCCTTTGAAGTAAAATTAAGGATGATGGGTTTATCAGTTTATGCCTGTAAAGTGTCTGGTATCGCTCGTCTGTAGAATTTCTATAGGATTTATGCACTCCCTCCGCACAATAACTCAAACTTTTGTTTTGAACTTTCTAACAGCCAATTACATTTCCGTCGATGCAATAGAAAATGTGGCCTATCAAATCATCTAAGACGAGGCACATTTGTGATGGAAACATAAAAGTAGCTTCCAAAGTCTTCATCTCGGAGCCCACTTTTGTCCTCTCCCTCCTTGTACAGCTCATCTTCAACGCGTCTACAAGATCAGACCGTAACCCCACAAGAACCAAGTCGATACAATTCATGTCAGCTTGCTCATAATCAACCCAGAAAATCTGTGTAGAGACCAAAAAACCGATGGCCGATACCGCTTTAATTTCTTTTTATATGCACACATGTGCCCCAAAAAGCTAAGAGCGTAGAGCCAGAGAGACGTTTCATTGTCAAAAAGAAAGTCGAAGTCGAAGTCGAAGATGAACTTAAAAAAAAATTTGGGAATTCACAATTATTTCCACAAGACTGACCATGATGAGATAAGACAGAGACAAGAGCAAGGGGATGGTGGTTGGGTACAGCTCACAAAACATCCAACAATGTCCAAACATGATAATAATGGACAAAAAGATCCTATTTTCTTTATAGTATATAAAGGGTGTGAGATCTTGGTTCATTTTCATCACAAAGCTTGTGCCGAGCACACGCCTAGCTTCTTCTCCTCCTCTCCTCTCCTCTCTCTCTCTCTCTCTCTCATTAAGGACTCAAGTTTTTAACCTTAATATCACAAGCCTAGCAACGTATATTCTTCCGGTGATTACTCGTCTATATTGTCCTCGTGTTGCACGAAAGTGCAGCGCTTTGGTCATGTGTGTAGGCTAACACCTACGCCATGAACACCCATCGTTTCATATGTTCATTTACGTATCCTACATGGAAAAAATGTTTATACATACTTAGTATTCGATATATTATAGCAGTGCATGTCCTTCCATCAATTATTGTTGATTGAACCCTAATCATGGAACAGTTTAATTTGTTCAATGCTTATTACAATGGTTTCAATGATGGCAAAATTTGACATTGTCATAGGATAACTTTCCGGGGCGATCAGCTGCATGATGAACGCTAAACTTATGTACGGGGCAATCCTAATTGTCCGAAGTTGCATCGTTGCTACAAGCGATGCGCAAAGTCCGACCGTGACCGATGCGACTCTCTTGCAAGTGGCCGCTTCTCTCCAAATGTTTGTAGACGAACTCCCCCAATTGCCCAAGCTATATGGATACACCACCGTCAACGGCGTCCCCAAGTCAGCCACTTTGACCATTGGCACGTACCAAACCTCATGGGTACGTCTATTGGGTGATCCAAGCATATGTTGATATGATATTCTATGAGACTACAGCTCTATTGAGGTTCTATACACATGATCTACACATTAGTTACAAATTGATTAATTCTATTTTTTCCTATGTAACAGAAATTCCACCGTGACTTGCCGGCCACAACCGTGTTTGCGTACGGTACATCGGCCGCGACAGCCACTGTCCCCGGACCCCAGATCGAGGCACTCCAAGGCATGCCCACGCTCGTGACATGGCAAAATCACCTCCCCCAGTCCCACATACTCCCTTGGGACCCGACCATCCCGACCGCCATACCGAAGAAAGGGGGTGTCCCGACCGTCGTCCACCTCCACGGCGGGATCAACCCTCCGCAGTCGGATGGTCACGCCAACGCTTGGTTCACCGCGGATTTCACCGAGACCGGGCCCACCTGGTCCCAGTCAACGTATACTTACCCGAATGCACAGCACGCCGGCAACCTCTGGTACCACGACCATGCCGTGGGTCTCACCCGTGTCAACATCCTGGCCGGCCTGATTGGCCCATACATCATCCGGAACACCGCCCTCGACGCAAAGCTGAAGCTTCCGCTGGGCCCACAGTACGATCGGGTCCTAATGATCTTCGATCGGAGCTTCAACACTGATGGCTCGCTGTACATGAACTCCACCGGAAACAACCCCACCATCCATCCTCAGTGGCAACCGGAGTACTTCGGCGTCGCCATCATAGTCAACGGCAAGGCCTGGCCTTACCTCCAGGTCCAACGTAGAAAGTACAGATTCCGTATAATCAACACTTCTAACGCGAGATACTTCCGCTTCTCATTGACCAACAACTTGACCTTCGACCAAATCGGGTCGGACGCGTCGTACCTTCCCAATCCGGTGACCATGCAATCCATTCTCTTGGCTCCCGCCGAAGGTGCTGACGTGGTCATTGACTTTTCCATGGCGAGCGCCAATGAGTCCATTTTGACCAACGACGCTCCGTACCCGTATCCGACTGGCAGCCCCGTGGATCAGCTGAACAGTAAGATCATGAAGTTCATCATCCAACCCGGGGCTCCGAACCCGCCTGATGACTCGAAGGTCCCGCCGAAGCTGAAACCCTACCCTACGGCCACAACCGCCGAGGCCACAAGAACCAGGTACATAACACTATATGAGTACCAAAGTGCGGCCCGGACTCCGACCCATTTGTACATTAACGGGTTGAGGTTTGAGGACCCGGTGACCGAGACCCCAAAAGTCGGGACCGAGGAGATCTGGGAAGTGATCAACCTGACAGGCGACAACCACCCGTTTCACATGCACTTGGCGCAAGTCCAGGCTGTGAAGATCCAACAACTGGTGGATCTGGCCGGGTTCACTTCATGCATGACCCGGTCGAACGACGCTGTCGCGTGCAACATCATGAGCCATGCGACGGGGCCATTGGCAGACGTGCCTGTGACAGAGAGGACGTGGAAGAACGTAGTGAAGATCTCGCCGGGGTATAAGACCACGCTCGTGGTTCAGTATTATGTGATCGATGACAGTTATGCACCATATCCATTCGATGCTACAGCAGAACCGGGTTATGTGTACCACTGTCACGTAAGCCTGCACAACGAAACCATCTTTTTATTTAAAGATACATGCTCTTTGGTTATCTTCCGTATGTCGATGTTTAGATTCTGACTGACTAATCTTATGCAGATTCTTGATCATGAGGACAATGCCATGATACGACCGATGAAGTTGGTCGCCTGAAGAATGCATGGACCGACGATTGAAGAGCAATACATGTCTAGGTAGTGTGTGTTCGTGCAATAATTGAGATTTGAGATTGTAGATCTACTAGCGAGTCAATGATTTGTATTTATTGATGATGTGATTGCTCCAAATAAGGAAGTGAACAGTGTGTGCAGTATCTTTTTTTTTTTTTTTTGGGTAAGTATGTGCAGTATCTTTTTCAGGACGGTGTAATCCATTTTATATCAAGAAGAAATGTATTTGCTCTCTCTCTCTCTCTCAGATATCTCTCTTGTCCAAAAGAGAGATCAAAAAAGAATAAATTAATCGACACAATCATCATAATATAATTTGGAAACTACTAAACATTTCCACTTGTGTGTTTCTGCAATAGAAAACTACCAAACATTTCCACTTGGCTAATCCTTTTCTTCTCCTTCTCTGCATCCTGATCTATTGAGCTTTGTCGTATGCGTTGAAGATGGTACCCTTAGAATGCGGGAGATTCAAACCATCGAAGTGGACTTCAAATAAAAGTAATAAATGATCAACAAGTGCGTTACGGCACGGAGAGTACAATCCGTAAAGTCGGAGGAAAATTTGAGATCCCGGATGGGAAGAAGTGCCCATGGTTTTGAAAATGTATGCAAGGATTTTGTCATAAAAGTGTGTTTAAAACGAAGGATTGGTTTGTTCGATGGAAAATCGTATCTGGAGAATTGCTTTCGGGGTTTTTAGCATTTGGACAACGGAAAGTTAGTCGATCGATAGAAAACGATTTCCATGGACCGAAAGGAACAAGTTTGAATTGAGAAAAATGACTTCTCCTTAAAGCAAGTAAATTCTATAACATGAAAAAACCACTTGTAAATTTTGATATTCCTGATGAGAATGAATTATAAAATTTTGTGGGACTACTAGATTAATGTGTGATCCCCATTCGTGGACGGAGGCAGATAACGGATCTGGAAAAATTGAAACTCGGGATCTCTTACTCTGATAGGATGTAAATGTTTTGGAATTATTGCCGACCATTTCAAAAGTTTAAATCGATATATGAAGGTATAGTTTAATATCTAAATATTTGAACAAAGTTGTCCATGACTTTGCAAATTCCTTGAAGGATTTTGTTACAGAATTGTCTTTAGATGAGAGATTGTAAATTCTAGCACGTTATATCAACTCTTTTCGCGATATGAATAATATATGCTTAAGAAATCACGTTACTAAGCATATTCAGCAATCGCTGACGTGGACATGTGTAACTTATTTCTTGGAAATAAAGTAAAAAGTACGTCCTTGCCAATTGCACTTGGAAGCTAAATAATTTCTCAATAGTGTGAGGACCAATGGAAAATAATAAATTCTCCTTCACCACAGATCAAACGGATCTGGAATGACCTTGAAATATGGCAACTTGATGTTCTTTAGCTTTTGATTTCAAAAGGGTGCAACGGAAACCTTTGGGGAAAAGTACCAAAAGATTCATGATCCTATTGCATTGGTTCCAATTCAGTACTAAACTTTTCAATTGGATCAATTCAGTTCTAAACATTTTCATATTGGTACAAATTCAGTTTATCCAGTCAATTTAGGCCGGAAATTGCTGACATGGACATTGGTCGTCCTACGTGGCAGCTCCACATGTCTCTATGTGCTAAGGGTTTTGATGCACAGAATTTCACAAAAAATAAAATCTCAAGTATCGAAAGTGAAAAAAAACAAGTAAGAAGCTGAAAAAGTAAAAGTCATTCCAAACACGCATGAGTACACTAGAATGCTACTCGTGAATTAATTCAAACACGGGGTTGACCGCTGAAAGTAGCTATGACTTTTGCATGTTCAAGAAAGATGTTTGGCCGATTGGTGGCCATGCTCCAGCTTGATTCTCCTTGGGATAGACCCGTTCTTCGTGCCAATCACATCACATTTCGAATGTCGAATATCATATACTATGGAAATGTCTCTTCTAGAATATCATGCTAGCTGGAATTTGCCCCCACATAAATATTAAAATGAGCTTATCCTTTCCTTGCTTCATCCCAAACGCTATCACCATCGTAGTGAACACTCTACACTAAGACCAACTCAGACATGATAGAGCCTCGATCCTTTTTACGAGCTTGTAAGTTCGATACTCTTGCGAGTCGAAATTCATGCGAAAGAGCATTCAAGATATTAATTATGTTTCTCGAGAGTCTTATGAAATCGAGGTTCCCCCAAGCAGTAGTCACAACATAAATTAGAGACTCCATAAGGGTACGGCTCTAGCTAGGGTTGATCAAAACGAGTCACTCCATCTGATCTAACTTAGACATATAAGTAGTACATTCAACAACAGCATGTGAAATTTTCTTCTAAAAGAAAAGAAAAAATAGGGACAGTTGCATGAATGGTTCCTGATTTTCGGCCAAATGTGTAATGTCATCCCCGAACTTCTAATATGTTCAACGTAGTCCCTAAACTTTAGCTAAATGGCCAATGTTATCCTTGAAGTTTCATGGCCTTTCGGTAAATGTTCAATTTAGTCATTAGATTATTTAGTCCATATACTAAATTAAATATATATTAAAAATTCGTGAATCACATTATATATTGAGCAAAAATTCATGAATCAATCACGTCATTTTCCAGAAAGAAAAAAAATAGAATGTGAACTGGGCTCTCGTTGACAATCGTGGCTGTAAGTACGGTCGATCTTTCAATGACGAAAAGATCCAAGATTCTGAACCGAGTGATGGGGACGGGGAACCGCGACGGACGGTGCGGAGGCCACATGCATGAATGCGCCCACGTTCAGACAACGTCCGACGCGTCGGATGATTGAGATTCTTTTCGTTTAGGTTATATAAAAGGAGGCCGAGGTGGACGTCCATTTCACCATCCCACCTCGTGCCCGCCACACGGCCCCACTCTCTTCTTCTTCTTCTTCTTCTTCTTCTTCTTAGTTTTGGGTTCGTCCTCACTCTGCCGTTGATAGAGATACAGACAAGGTAAGCCGTGCCGTTTTGTTTGACTTGAATCATGCCCATGATCGCTCCCATTTCCCACTTTTAGAACGGATTTGGTATCTATCATTCGTGGATGATGAATTGGGTGGTGTTATTATTATTTTTTAAATGTTTTATTTTCTTTCTCAAAAGTTTAAATATAAAATGAAGTTTCTAACAACAGGGAAGTTACTAATAAAAAGAGAGACTACTCCCACAAATAATCTGTATCTTTTGCCCTTACGGAATAAAAAAAAAAAATACTTTGGGCCGGTTATGTCCAGTCAGTCTGGTTCCTCCTTAGGAATCTAGAATTGGACCGGTTATTATCAAGTTCCAAAATTTTGGAACTAGGAATTGCCTAAAATCTACCAAACCGGTACATTTGAAAAAGAAAATAAAACATTTGGTACATTCAATCCCACATCCTCCCATCGGATCTGACTGTCCCAATGGTGATCCCCAAGAATGAGGGCGTCCCAACCGTGGTGCATCTACATGGTGGGATCAACCCGCCGCAGTCGGACGGCCATGCGTTGGCTTGGTTCACCGCCAATTTCGCCGAGATGAGGCCCACATGGACCCAGCAAACCTACACCTATCCAAACACGCAGCACGCCGGCAACCTCTGGTACCACGACCACGCCGTGGGACTGACGCGTGTCAACCTCTTGGCCGGCCTGATCGCACCTTACATCATAAGGAACGTCTCCCTGGACGCCAGGTTGAACCTACCTCTCGGTCCTGTGTTTGACTGGGTCCTCATGATCTTTGACCAAAGCTTCAACACGGACGGCTCATTATACATCAACGCCACCGGAGATAACCCCACCATCCATCCCCAGTGGCAGCCGGAGTACTTCGGCGACACTGTCATAGTCAACGACAAGGCCTGGCCGTACCTCCAAGTCCAACGCAGAAGGTACAGGTTCCGCATAATCAACACGTCCAATGCCAAGTACTGCCACCTCTCCTTGACCAACAATTTGACTTTCACCCAGATCGGGTCGGATGGGTCTTACCTCCCGAACCCGGTGGGCACCCAGACAATCCTCCTAAGCCCTGCCGAGGGTGCCTACGTGGTGGTCGACTTCTCCATGACGGCAGCAAATGAGACCGTCCTAACTAACGATGCGCCGTACCCGTACCCGTCCAGCAATCCAGTGGATCAGCTAAACAGTAAGGTCATGAAATTCATTATCCAACCCGGGCCTCCGAGCCAAACTGACCATTCCCATGTCCCTCCGAAGCTAAAAACTGTTGCGGAAGCCAAGCGATCGAACAATAAAATTGATAGAATAAGAAAATAAATCGGACACCGGATTTACGTGGTTCGGTCGTAGTGACCTACGTCCACGGGAGAGCAAGCACGGAATTCCACTATAGATCAAGCGATACAACGGAGATTACAACCACACTCGAGTCACTCAAACACTCTAAGTGTTTCCCAAGCCTCAATTACACCCAACAACTCACGCAGTATTTAGCCCCACAATTCCTCACGAAATAATCTCTCAATCTCGCAAAAGAATTGTACACAAATCTTAACACAAGATTTAATCGCTACTAACACTTGAATTCTTGGTGTAATTGCACGAACAAGAACAAGCCCACTTTCAAGCACTCGGAAACGGTGCTTCAAGACTTCGTATCAACAATAGCCTCGCATCCCAAGCACTCACGCGGCAGCGGCGCTTCAAGAGGTCTTCTGTGCCTCAAGAGCCTCCCCACAGCACCACAATTAATATTATATACCCCAAGAAAAGAATATGCAGTGGCCGACTCCAGCTTGGACAAGAAGGAAACCATGCAATCCTAATGGAATTCGGTCAACAAGTCAACTTTCCTCTTTTGACTTTTCTTTGGCCGATTACACTAACAGGAACATATCTTGTTTTATTTTATTTCCTCTTCTCACCGTGAATTCCACAAGAATTAGGAAAGTAAATTTCAGATATTTCCACTTGTTCGATTTCGGACGTCCGCAAAATATCAATTCGGAATATTCAGATTTTCGTTTCGGGCTCAAACTCGAGACATATTTTTAACAATCTCCACCTTGGCTCGACGTTTGAGCCAAGTAACAATCGCTTCAATAGAATCCGAATTCCGCTACTACTCTCCCACAGCCCCAATGGGCTCAACCGCCACAGACGTTTTTCAAGTCCAAGCCTCGCTTGAACTTCGCTATA